TCACTCACTACTATTTTGCCTATTTACAATATTAAGTTTGAGTCTGCATTTGAAATTCTGTCAGAAAATAATACAGTCGCAATCTCAATTGCATCATATAGTATGCAAACAGCTGCTCATACAGGAATTTGTTGTTTTATTCTGTGGTTACATTTCCAATTAGGTTCAGTGTTTGTGTTTAATGCTTTTTATTTCTTTGTTAAAAAAATAGTGAGTTGGGTTTGGAAGAGATGAAAGTGACTTTGCAACAATAATGGATAAACAATGTTGCTATTCTGAGAAATAGGTTGAGGTGGCTCATGGCACCTGTTGGAAGAAAAGCCACCTGAACAATCAGAAGCAGACATCCTTTTTGGGTGTGCCTTACTCATATTTAGACAAGCCATAATGGTAGTGTTAATTGTTTAAAGGAAAATTCTTCTACGAATGAAATTTTTCTTAGCTTAAATATAGTCTTAGGAGTTTACGATCTCAGGGAAGATTTTCTTACTAGTAAATAACCACAAACAGAAAATAGAAATTTTAAAAAGACTCAATAGAAGACATCTTGTTTATTCATTATGTATAGTTCAGTACATGGAACTCAGCTTGAGAATAATCTTGTACGGAAAGTGCAAGAAGTGCCATACACTTTACTCATTAAGATTTTGATATAAACCAAAATTTAGTATTAAACCTTCTGGAACTGCACTTTGTATGGCTCAGAAGTAAGAGCCAAACGCTTGCCATATTGGTCCTGATATATTCCAATATCACTGCATGGATAATTGCAATAATTGCACACACTTGGACAATAAACCATCTTGTAAGCATCCTCGAACCTCTCAATCTTGAACCAACTTTGGATGGTTTGAGGGCCAGGGTTGCCCAAAGCGCCACCAGTTGAGACAAACCACAGTGATGTTGAATAATCATAGTCCTTAAGCTTCCACACTGTGGAATCTGGACAACCTGTGTAGGTGGCGAATAAAATGTTGAGATCAGTGGAAACGCGAATGACACCTTTCTTCTCATTAACAGGTAGAAACATAAATTGCAGGCCTTGGTAACCATCAACAACTACAAGATCAAGAGGGCAATCTTGACCTGTGGTTGAGAGATTAAGGCCAGCTACATCAGAGGATGCTGGAACAATGTAGTAATAGTCACCAGCTCGCACCTTCTTCCCTGATGTGTCCACAATTTGGTCTGGTGCAGCACCTGCTTCCCCAAGTAGTGCCTTTGTGCTCAAGCCAACCACTAGTATCAATGCTACCAATGTCATCTTCATTTTTCTGTGTTTAATTTTTTTCTTCTTGTAACTCCTGTGAGATGGATATGGAAGAAGGGTGAGATTTACATTTATATAAGCAAGGGGATGGAATCTGTGTACCCATGTGCACCAAAGTCATGGATTTCTTCTTATACAATTGGCCTATAAAGATTCAATTTTGTAAAAGAAGTTGTGGTTGGCTAGATTTTTAAGTTTCTGATGAAGTTACAGTTTGGTTTAAGCTCAATATTTCAGAGCCTAACTTCTTGTACCATGTTTAAGACTAGAGAGAAAGTTCTTCCTCTGTTTAGGATGCAAAGCATAAAGAAGCACATAGTTTAGTGCATTTCCATTTGAAATTAATGAATATCTTGTTTTCTCTCACTCTCTCTGTCTTTGTTTTTGTTTTCTTTATGTTGGTTGTTCTTTTCCCCAAATTTAGGCAGGTGGTGGGACAGAAAATGAGGTTCACAATAAATAATAAAAAATTAGGTATACTACTATTTTTGCACAAACTACATATATAGTTTTTTTACATCAATGAAACTTACAAATGAGTTTTACATTGTTAATCAATTATGAAATAAATTATGATCTGTAAATAATTATTAAAAATTACCACAAAATCAATTTTGGTGCGTGAGATGTTTTTTACGGTAAGTATGTCCGAATTGAGGGTTGTGATTGGAGAAGTTGTTCGTAAAGAAAGATTGGTCAGAATGTCATGAAATAAGAGTTAGTCATATTGGAAATAAATTATTATTAGATAGATGGATCATGCAGTTTTTAATTGCAAAACAAAGTGCCTACTTAATCAACTTCTCTTTTTTGGAACTTTCCCGTTGAAATTTTAAAAATAATTAGAGACCAGAAATAATTCTTAAATAATCTAAGATCACTATGGAAATTGAACCAAATCACAAAAGCACGTCAGGAAGAGATTAATACGTAATTCATTCAGACAATATTAAAACAATATAAACACATCAATTTTATTCATGTTTTTAAAGATTGAATTGTTGGGAATTATAGGGCTCTTATTCATATATATATATAT